CCCCCCACCTATCCATCCATCCATCCACTCACCCCCCCACCTATCCATCCATCCATCCACTCACCCCCCACCTATCCATCCACCCAGGTTGGACCTGTCCTCAGTGCCAGCAGCTGAAGCCCACAGTCCTCCTCTATGTCTACACTCATGAACCTCAGACTGTTCTCTTGCTCAGGTCCCTCTGCTCACCTCCCAGCTCTGGGCTGGGTGCCCACCATCACATGACTCTCGAATCGTCCCTGAGGCTCAGTCCAGAAAAGGGAGGTTCATGACACAAATCTGGGGCTGCCAGGACCTCCATGTCTCTCTTCTCCACCTAGAAAGCACATCTGAAACCAAACGAGTGTCATGCAATCTTGTTGAGCTGGTCTGACATTACCCGAACTTAGAAGGCATGACAACTCTACGGCCATGTTTTCAATGGGCGTTGATGTGGCTGACTCCCACTGAGTCCATCCAGGATGTGACTTCACAGAAACAGCTTTTGAATCGTTTTTTTTAAAATAAACTATGACTCAGAATCAAAACACATCATCATCACCATCATCACCACACACAGATACTTATAATTTAAACAAAAGCTTCCTGAAATAAGGAAGGCACTAATAGGGATGACCTCTATAGTATTTTCTATTCTGCTCTAGTTTATTTAAAAATTACCACTGATCACAGTCCATCAGGCAGACCCCGTCATCTTCCGGTGAATTGAGACCTGCAGCTTGAGAAACACTGCACTCCATGTAGTTGACCTTTGTGGTGAGCTGACTGGATTTGTGGGTTCAAACACAGAGCTGCTGGAGTAAGTGGATGCCACTCAGGGATCTTGGAATGAAGTAACCCTAACCTTGCCTCCCGCCGATCAGAGACCAGTGTAACTGGACAGGCAGTAGTCCCCTCGGTGTCCAGACAATCAGGTGGGTTCTCGGAGCTCACAGGCACGTGGGCCTGTCTCACTGAGGCCCAGGGTGAACTGCAGCTGCGGCTCCTGATTTCCGGAAACCAGCTGGACGTGATGCTGGATATCAGAATGTCACCCAGTGGGAAGGCCTTTAATTAGAGCAGCAATCAGCCGGATAGGAGATCGAACGGGGGTGGGCTGGCAGGGGAGGGGGAAGCAAGGACCAGCGTGTCCACTCCTTCCTCCTTTTGCCCTGCTTACAAAATGTATGCTTAGAAGGAAAAGACATGAAACTCACTCATTTCCCACTACAAAAAGAGAAAGGAAAAATAATGACATGTTTGCTTAGGCAAAAAAAGAAGAAATAATTACGCCTGTTGAGGCTGAACTGTTTGTCTGTCCGGCTCCTTGGCTAGCTCCCTGGGGTTCCGCCGTGGGAACGCTGGTCCCCGCCGCCACCACCCTCCTGGGCCAGTGCCACGAGTGGGCAGACAGACAGCACGTGTCGTCCTGGTGCAGTCTCCACAGGCGGCTGCCCGGCGTGTCTTCGAAGTGCCTGCTGGGGGCCTCTGCCAAGGAAGCCTTGGGCCCACATGCTTCTCCAGATGGTGCTGAGTGGCTTCAAAGGCAGGAGCCGCTGACGTCCATGTTTGTCAGACAGGCCCACTGGCCAGGGGGATGAGGAAACGCTGATGGCCGAGCCTGGCGCTGTGGTCACTGAGGGCTTTGGCCAGTGACTGACAGCCAGTCACAAGCCTGACGGAGAGGGTTTGCTCCCCTTTAGTAGATGGGAAGGTTAAAGCTGGGAGGGGTCGAACAGCCTGTGCAGAACTGGAAGGGCCTGAGACGGCCAGAAGGCGGGTAACGGGAGTGCAGACACGCAAAGGCTGAGGAAGTCTAAGGGGGGCCCCCGTGGCTTGGCAGGAATGGACACTGCTCCTCACACCTGCTAGCTTTCTTCCCACAGAGCTCACTCCAGTCCTAGCCACTGGCTGAGCCAGCTGGACTCAGGAGTCCCGAGTTCTGTGCCCAGCAGGTTACGCAAGACTGAGCTTTGTCTTTGCCTTCCATAACTGAAAGGATCCTGGTTGCACGAGTGTGCTCACAGGGGCAACGCCAGCTCTCGGAAGCTCACTGGCCCAGGACAGATGGATACACGATCACCTAATCACACAGCAGAGTGCATTCCTTTACTCCCTGGACCTAGATTTCCTTATTTACAAGACAAGGATTATTAACAGTCCCAATTTAGAAGGTAAAGGTGCTCTGGTGGCCTAGTGGTGAGGAGTTGTGCTGTCACCCCAGAGGCAAATGGTTCAAATCCACCAGCTGCTCCATAAGAGAAGGATGGGCAATCTCCTCCCGTGTGATTTATAGTCTCTGAAATCCTGCTGAAGGGTCAGCTGTGAGTTGGTTCTGATTTGACGACATCACAAGTTAAGACGATAAAGGAGTCCTCATGATCCAGGAGTGAAGAATGCCATTAACTAAAAGGTCAGTGGTTCAAAACTACCATGGGAGAAAACTGTGGGTGGCAGCTAGCTTCCATAAAGCCCAGGGTGCAGTTCTGCATCTTGTGGGGTCTCTATGGGTCAGGATTAACTCAGTGGCAATGGATTTGGTTTGAAATTACTCAGTAAGGAGTATGGGTGGCATTTCAAATCCACCCAGGAGCTCCATGGAAGAAAAGCCTGGTCAACTACGTCCATAAATTACAGCTGACCGTAACCACCATGCATAGATCTGACAGATGATGGTTCTCCATTCATGCTAGTATCTGCTGTAAATATACATCTATGAATGCAGGGGAGCCAACATGGGGCAAAGTGACGCAGACTTCTTAATTATAACCAAACACCCAGACCAAATGAGGAGTTGGTCAGAGGGCCTTGGACGTGCATGGCCTCAAGGTCAATGGCATAACTCAGTCCACAAAGACAATGGTCTACTCCTGCTGGGCCAGTGAGTGAGCTTCTGAGAGCTGGAGTCACACTGTGTGCCTAGTCA